GGGAGCCCGGAGGTCCAATCGAAGAGTCACTAGGAACAAAAATCCAATTTCAGGAGTGCTGATGATTGAAATATGGGGAAAAAATAGATAACTCCAGTTATCAGATTAGATTTCAGTTTACTAATCACCACACACACTTTTATTTAGTCTTCTATGGATCTTCTGTGTCTTGTTCACATCGGAGCTTTTTATCAGGCAGACTTGGTTTAAAAGCGAACGTACTCGCTTGGGCCAAACGAGCCAACAGGACAGCAGCTCTGCTCATTTCACACGAAGCTTCCTGAACAAAACTCAGGTCAACAGCTGTTGGCCACACCGCCTCTGGACACTCTTTCATTTCTCCATTTTTGAGTGGGTTTTTCTTTGTGCGCTACATTCAGAGACGAACAGGAAATGACATCAGCGACTGAGGAGGACAGACCAGGGACCGGATTATTCAAGATCCTGCATCAAACTGTGGAAACAATGTGAAAAGTAGCTGATCTAAGCCAGAGAAAACAAACTTCTCACGTACAGAACCGTCTCTCTCTGACTGGAAAGTGGCTGATGGGAGTTTCTGACTGATCCCCCTCCAGACGAACGGAGAGGACCTTCCTCTGCAGAGCCGTCGACTTTCTGACCAGAAACACCTGCTCCCAGGAACACAGACATGAAATCGTTTCTGAAGGGAGAAACACGAGCATCAGAAGGACGGCGACCACTCACCCCGGCCGGCTGTTTGAGCAGTGTGCGCATGGCCTCCTCCTCGCTGAACCCCAGCAGCAACCACACCGGGTGGGTTTGGGTCAGCCGCTCCAAAACACTCATCCTCCTCCGCAAAGAGTCGTACCCAGAATCCCTTTCACCTCCCATGCTGACACACTGTCGAGGCTGCAGGTAAACACCTCCCTCCAGCCTGCGGAGGAGAAAATAACTTTTATATCAGACGTCCGAGAGAAATATTCAAATTATAAGTTCAAACATCTAATTTTGTTTTTGTGATCATTTCAATCATAAAGACGTAATTTTATATTGAGAATAATTGAACCAATTCTGTCTAAAGGTTTATTTTCTTCTGTCATCTGGGACAGAACATCACCGTTACATGTTTTAAGCTTCAGCTGAACTCCAAATGATCTGAGAATCCATCAGGGAGATAGCAACAAACACCGCAGCAAGTTTCTGGATGTCCTACCGCGGTAAGTCCACGGACTCCTTGTCCAAACTCGGAGACGTCTGAACCATCTCTTTCTTCAGCTCTCCGATCTCCGATGCGAACGTGTCAATCAGCTGGAAACAGAAGGAATGGTCAGCGCCGACTTCAGGAGGAGACGAGGGAGAGGAGGAAACAAAACATTGGCACAGATTCCCGAACAAGACGCCGAGTCGGACTGGCCGGAAGTAGAACAAAAGAGAAGGAAGTCATTTTTCTGTGTGTCATTTCCTGCAGACAGGAAACGTGGAGACGAAGAGCAGTTAAGGAAATGACCCACAGCAGCGTTCAGAGGGAGAATTCCCACAATGCACTGCAGAGACAGAACGGTAAACACCAGGATGGGAAGGACATATCATTTAAAAGATTCATCCCATGCCAGACTGATGAAGACCATTTTAACCATCCATCAGGTCGTCGGTGTTTAGAGCAAAACAACGATCCGGTCGCCTCTCTACCAACCATCAAAACTCTTCAGACCAGAACTGCAGCCACAGTTTTGTCAGCATGACTGAAAGTTTGCAGGATTAGCTGCTGGGAGCTAAAACATTACTATAAAACCCTCACGCAAACGAGACAACACACGTGATCAGCACGCTAGTTTGGTACATCACCTGATGGGTTAAGAGATGACTGGCTTGTGGGTCTTTTGGGTTAAAGACCATTCGACTCCCAGCAACACATTCTCCACAGCTGCTATATCACTTATGACTCACATTTATATAACAGACCAGTTTATATAAATACACTGTTTAACTTCCATGTCAAGAAAAAACACTCTAGAGTTATTTATGTCTTTTACAAGGTTTCAAACGATAGTTAAAACAATCTTGATTAGTTTTGTTCTCGTATTGTTGTTTTGTTGTTGTTTGTTTCTGACTGTTTCACCCTGCATTGAATCATAGATGATGTTGCATGAACCTGAACGACGCTACGACTGAAGTACTTGTACTTAGCCCTGACATGCCTACACGCCCATGCGATGCTGTGAATCTGGGCCCTTTAGCATCTAACATGAAGACCACCATCATAAATTTGGGAGTGCAACTGGACTCAGCCCTTAAATTTGACGCGCAAATCAACCAGGTTGTGCGATCGTGTTTTTTAACTTACGCCGACTAGCCAGAGTTAAGCCCCTGCTGTCCAGAGTACATCTAGAGACTGTCACACACGCTTCTGTTCTTTCAAGGCTCGACTACTGCAGTGCACTGTATGCCGGCCTTAGTCAGGGTGCGGTAGCACGCTTGCAGTTTGTACAAAACAGCAGCTAGGTTCGTGACCGGCACTAGGCGCAGGGAACATATCAGCCCCGTGTTGGCATCCCTTCACTGGCTGCATGTGCAATACAGGGCAAAATTCAATGTCTTGGTGCTGGCATACAAGGCCTTACAAGGAACGGCTCCAGCATATCTCGGCAACCTTTCGCATAGACACGCCCCCTCACGGGCACTTCGCTCAGCCAGCAGGGAGCTGATGATGGTTCCACGCACCAAGTGCAGGTCACGGGGGGACCGTGCGTTCTTGGTGTTGGCACCTGCACTTTGGAACCAGTTGCCTTTGGAGGTGCGTCAGTCACCCTCGTTGGGGCTTTTTAAGATTCGCCTTAAGACCCATTTTTTTTAGTCAAGGCATTTCAGGATTAGCAAATTTTACCCGGCTTCGTTTTAATCGTTTTCAGGATTTTATTTTTTGCTTTTACTCTCCTCTTTTAATTGATTTTATGTTGGTTTTAAAATTGTTATATTTTATTCTGATGGTTTTGTGTTTTTATTGTGTTGTGTTCAGCACCTTGGCCGTCTGCATTGGTCGCAGAAGGGGCTTTATAAATAAATGAAATGAAATGAACAGTAAATGAAGTATTTGTTTGTAAATCTCTGACATGTTAGTCCGCAATTGTCTTTCACAGGGTATCTGCAGGTTTAAGGGAGCCAAATTTAAAACTTTTCAAGACCTTTTTTAAGGCCACTTTGACCAAATTTAAGCAATTTTAAAATTAAATTTAAGCTATAATTTCCAGCTATTGCCTGGAACCGGTGCTAGCCACGTAGCGAACGTGGGATTAGCCATCCAGTTACCATTAAACTTGCACTTCCCCATGGCGCGAGCTCCCACTAGCTTAATTAGCTAATGTGCTCATTTAAAATAGCCCCCTTTCACAACCAACTGAATGTGTACGGTTCCACTTACGTCAACATCGTACACAAAAAAAGCTGAACACTAACTAGAAATTCACGAACATTTTATAGAAATAAAAGAATCATGTTTATTGGGTCTTTGGTCATTTAAGACCTTTGGAAACTGTATTTAAGGATTATGTGTAATTTTTAAGGATTTTTAGGGCCTTAAATTTGGAAACGCAAATTTAAGACTTTTTAAGGACCCGCGGATATCCTGCTTTCAGTAAAATTATTTATTATTAATTTAACTATTGGTGTCAGTGGGGCAGATAGATAAGATTTTCTTCTACCTGCTCCTTTTCATTCAGGTGTTTGTAAGTTGTGTTTGTTTGCACATTTATTTTTTAAAGAATGAAATAAAGGAAAAAAAACTTTTAATTATTTCTAATCTAAAGATAATAGGATAACAAAGTCAGGTAATGTTTTTGGCTGTGCTCGTTGCTGTGGGAGACTGCCGCTGCACCACCGAGCAGCTGGTTAGTTATTATAACACTTCACTGAACCCGATCCTGTCGCCTCAAACTGTGTGAAAAACCCTGTGGACTGTAAAAGCAGGACATCCGACATAAACACCAAAATTCACCATAACCAATTCACTCTCTGACCCAAAACCAAGTCATGAAGAACAGATCTGAGAAGCTGAGGCTAACTGGTTCCATGTTGTTTAGGGCTGGGGGGGGGGGGTCTGCAGATGTTCCTCTGCGGTAGTGCTCATTAAATGACGAGCACCATCGCTTCTCACTTTTAAGAGATTTGTTTTACTCTCTGGCTCTTGTACACTCTGCCAGTTTGTTTATTTTTAAATAACGCTTGTTTTTATTCCTTCTGTTAGTGGATCTAACTCTTGGTACTCATGTTTTATGACCGTTGGCTGTGAGAGTGCCACATAAATAAAGGTTGATGCTGTTGTTGCGTTTCCTGGTTTCAGCACTAGGAGGCGACCTTTCCTGTCCTACACATTTCTCTAGGCTCGTTTCAGGTCAGACCGCAGTCATCACGGGACCCTGTAATCCTCACCCCTCCCTGCAGGACCAAGTGGAGCTCCCTCAGCTTTGGGTCAGGTATGAAATAACATGCAGAGTTAGCTCCATGACAACCCAGCAATGAACTCTGGGAAATTCAGCCTGATGATGTTGGATATGGGTGGAGGGACAGATGCTTTCTTTCAGGGATGTCGACCGCGGTCAAATGGTAAACTCTTGGATTCATTATTACCACGTTACTGTGTTCTTATGTTGTTTGATGCTGTGATATCTTGGTGGCAGAGGTGCAGGTTCCTGTAGGGTTGCAGGTTTGATCCCAGTCTGTTGCAGTTGATGTGTCCTTGGGCAAGACACCTGCTAGAGGTCAGAGGGACCGGTGGTGCCTGTTCTGCAGCCTCGCTCCTGTCAGCTTATATTGTTTCCTTGGTGGTTCCTTTGCGAGGTGGTGCTCACTCCTCACCCCTGCCACGTGGACCTCAAGGGATAAACCATCAATCCTGCTCAGTGGTCAACTTTCCTCGCGGGGTCACCCATTAGGAGAGTGGGAGGGGTAAAGTACGGAACTGACAGCAGAATCAAAGTCCAGACAAGAGAAATTTAAGAGGAAGAAGAAAGGGTTGATTTTAAAATAGCGCCTCTCTAGATAACGATCCCGAGGTGCAGATAAACAGAAGTGAATCTGCAGGTTTTTTTATCTAGTCTCTCCTAATCATCCCTGAAATAACATCCCTGACTCACCTTCTAGTTATTACGGGGCGAGCACTTAACTCCTGTGCCACTGTCGCCCCAAAGGCTGATGACTCGCACAGCTGCAGGTAAAAAACAAGCTGGTTTCCTGCTCTGAAAACGGGCCTCTCTCTCTTTGTGTCAAACTAAAATAAAACAATAATTATAATCATCATCATCACCAACAACCGACATCTCAGCAATGCATGAAAATAAAATGTTTTTATGTCCTTTCCTCAGTTCTTCTGCCAGAACACATCACTCGTTCAGGACGGGTTAGGGTCACTATGTGGCTGTATTCATGCACGTTCCCGCGACAGGGCGGGCAAGCGGCACAATGGCCGGCTGGGTCACTTTTCTCTGCACAACACCTGTAACCACCGTGGGCGGCTCAGGTGCTGCAGGAGACTGAGAAACCTCGACGTTTTGCTGTCCATCTGCAATCTCTTTTTGTTCATTAACATATCTTTCAGAGTGCTGGTTCGCGTTTTTGTCCGAGTTGCTGCAGTGGACTGCGAGTATTAGTGCGAGTATTAGTTTCAAAGTCGGACTAAGGGAGATTCACTGTGGCGCTGACGCCTGAAGGGAAGAGCCAAAAGAGAAGTAGTTTATTTTGAAGGCTGCTTATCGTGCTGCTGTCTTTCCCACCATGATTAGAAGTCTCATAGACTGCCTTTGCTGTCCGGTTTAAAATGCCATCAAACTACAGACATGTTCTCTCTGCTGAGGCAACAGGTTGGCACTACATTAGCCTGCTAGCTAACAGCTACATATTATGTGTCCACCTGTCTTAAATTGTGTGATTAGAAATTACTGATGAAGAGGAACTGTTGAAATTAAAACTAAGCCACTGTTATTCCATTTGAAAAAGTCACGTTTATAGTTTTATGAGGTTAAATTCGATCGTTTCCACAGGATTCCAATCATTTCAGAATAACGTGTTTCACGTGATTGGATCAGAGCATCCCGACTTTAAACCAACATTTACTTCTCACACACTTACATGCGAGCAGCTGAATTAATGTCTACAGGAGCCCGTTTGGCTCAGACTAGCAGCATTGGATCACAATAGGTGTGTTTCTACTGTGGGAAGTTCAGGGTGAATTGGAGGGGGGGGAATTGACCAGGAGGTAGAATGGCCCGGTCCGCTCAGCTGTTGTCTCATAATCCACGTTTAGCCCTTTCAGGACTTTGCACAAACGTCAGCATATTGCAACAGCTTTGGCAGTGAGTGATGTCACTGATCAGTGAGTGATGTCACTGATCAGTGAGTGATGTCACTGATCAGTGGCGAAGAATTATCCACAAAAAATTAAAAGTTTTATTCTGTCAAAGTGCAGCATAACTGAATCCTTACAGAGGACCGGGAGAGCTGAAGCGTGATGTTCAATGACCAGAAGCTCCATTTTTGTGACATTGTGTGGGACAAGCCCGTTGAGTTACGCTGCTGCTGTGAGGGAATTCCACCGTGTTTCCTGGAGTTGGGAGTTTAGTGATGGCGCTTTTAAAGCTGTGCGACCTGTGCTTATTTCCTTTTGCTTTAATTCTGCTTCACAAGCCACTCGTCTAATGGAGGTTGTTCTGCACAGCGTCTGTTGATGTCACTTCCTACTGAGTTACAACCAATCAGCAGGATTCTGCTGAGCTACTCAGCCATGCCAAGTGCCTGCTCCCATTCAGTTGCTCCAAAAGTTCCTGAAAATGGCCCGGAAACCAGCCGTTCCTCCAGCCCAGCGAAGTGGAGACAAGTGCATGTGCAGCTCTGCAGAAGAGCAAACAGCCAAGACTCATGTCTGATTTGCTAATTAAGCCGTGAGTTTTACACCTTTTTCTAATGTTAAAATGAAACTATGAGGGCTTTAAAACAATGCTGAGGACTTCTGCAGACTTCAGATTGTTTTAGAGCCTCTGTCATAAAATATTTAGAATCATTTAGACGCTGAAAGAAAGAAAGAAAGAAGAAAGAAAGAAAGAAAGAAAGAAGAAAGAGAGAAAGAAAGAAAGAAAGAAAGAAAAGACAGAAAGAAAGAAAGAAAAGACAGAAAGACAGAAAGAAAGAAAGAAAAGACAGAAAGAAAGAAAGAAAAGACAGAAAGAAAGAAAGAAAAGACAGAAAGACAGAAAGAAAGACAGAAAGACAGAAAGAAAGAAAGAAGAAAGAAGAAAGAAAGAAAGAAAGAAGAAAGAGAGAAAGAAAGAAAGAAAGAAAGAAAGAAAGAAAGAAAAGACAGAAAGAAAGAAAGAAAAGACAGAAAGACAGAAAGAAAGAAAGAAAAGACAGAAAGAAAGAAAGAAAAGACAGAAAGACAGAAAGAAAGACAGAAAGACAGAAAGAAAGAAAGACAGACAGAAAGAAAGAAAGAAAGAAAGAAAGAAAGAAAGAAAGAAAGAAAGAAGAAAGAGAGAAAGAAAGAAAGAAAGAAAAGACAGAAAGAAAGAAAGAAAAGACAGAAAGACAGAAAGAAAGAAAGAAAAGACAGAAAGAAAGAAAGAAAAGACAGAAAGAAAGACAGAAAGACAGAAAGAAAGAAAGAAGAAAGAAGAAAGAAAGAAAGAAAGAAAGAAAGAAGAAAGAGAGAAAGAAAGAAAGAAAGAAAGAAAGAAAAGACAGAAAGAAAGAAAGAAAAGACAGAAAGACAGAAAGAAAGAAAGAAAAGACAGAAAGAAAGAAAGAAAAGACAGAAAGACAGAAAGAAAGACAGACAGAAAGAAAGAAAGAAAGAAAGAAAGAAAGAAGAAAGAGAGAAAGAAAGAAAGAAAGAAAGAAAGAAAGGAAGACAGAAAGAAAGAAGAAAGAAGAAAGAAAGAAAGAAAGAAAGAAAGAAAGAAAGAAAGAAAGAAAGAAAGAAAGAAAGAAGTCGTCAGTCTCGTCTGTATATTGTTGTTTTTTTTTCTTTCCTCTTGTAAAGCAAATTGCTGATTTAGCACTCCTGGAAAAATAAACATTTTGTGGACAAGAAATGATCTTTTTTTATTGTTCAGTGAGACTCCTCCCCCCTACTTCCCTCCTCCAGACTCCACCCCCTCAGGCCTTACCTTGAAGAAGTTGCTGCTGCTGTTAGTGAGGCCGCAGGACGGATTCCTGACGGCGTCATCGTGCTGCTCGTCTGAGTCGGACCCACTCACGTCTGGGTCGGCGTGAATCATGGCTGCAGCCCTGTTGGTTAAAAACAGCCTCGGTTCAGACACTTGAGCTGTGGTGCGGTCGGGAAATTCCTTCTTCGGCCACAAACGTTTTAATGCAGATCTCGCCGAGTCAGACTTTTCTCTCCTGACATCTCAGAGCATTTACCCTGCTGACTCTCCTGGTGACTAACCCTTACTTTACACATGTGTTGGCCGTGGCTGGCGTTCTCTCGTTACCTGTTTCTTCTGGTATTTTTACCCTCTTCATTCCCGTGCTCCATTCCCACATCCTCATAATTAAATTTCCATCTCAGACGGTCTCTTTTCCAGCACAGCTGCCTTCCTTCCCCACCCATCGTAATAAAAAGGTTTTCATTTCCAAATGCTCTGTGCAAAGCTGTGGAGAAGTTCAACAGCAAGACTTATTTCTATAACATGTCATTTCTGCTCTTCCTGGTCTTTGTCCTTCGGTCCGTTTATTCATCTGAATTCACTCACTGAAGCTACAGCACAACATCTGCAAAACAAGCTACCTCATAACCTTTCTTCATGCCTCATACCTATGTTCTAACAGTATAGTTGTGGGTATTTTGTTGAGTATTTAAAAAAGTGAAGACACGGTTCTCTCTCATTTACAACCCTCCACCAATAACACGGCTCGGTCCCAAACCAACAACTGGACCACCCGGTTGTCGACCTCACCGAACCACCACACCTTTACCTGGGTCCTCCATCCATTACACGCTTGTGCATTCTGCAACAGAACACCGCAGGTGTGAGAGGTTCTCCACTCAGAAGTATCAGACAGGTGGCTGCTACCACCTTAACTTCAGGACAAACTACTAGAGTCCCAAAAATAAAAACACCATTTGAAGAATACAAAAGCCGTCTGACTCTGGACCTACAAACTGCGAGTGTGTTTAGTGCTCTCTGGTTTCCTCTGGCAATGCAAGTTTCGTATCAGGAGGACGTGGCCAAGGCGTGACAGCCAGTGGGAGTTTTGGGACTCAGGGGTTAGGAGTTCACACTCATCGGCTGCAGGTTCGAACAGGCTTGTGTCCTTGGCCACAACACTTCACCCTCCTTGCCTGCTGGTGGTGGTTGGAGGGGCTGCTAGCTTTGTTTCCTGTTGCTGAATCAGATTATTAAACCAGAGCTTATGCTCATGACAGCGAGGGTGTTATTAGATTTTAAAGATGAAGGTTAGGGTTAGGGTGAGGTCTGAACCTCTTTACCTCAATAGGGTTTCCAGGTTTGACCTTAGATACCAAAAGGTGTTTGAAAATGATCAAATAAATTTCAGGAGGATTATTTCCCCAGTTTACAGCCATGTTTACATTTTAGAGAAGATGCATCTTTGAAAACACCCAAATGATTTCTTTAAACTGTTAAGAATCTAAAAGTCCTGTTTTGTTTGTCAGGGTTTAATAAAAGATGGGTTTGAGAGCAGCAGAGAACCAGAAGGGGGTGGGGGGTGTAGCAGCTGCATAAACCCCCAGTGCAGATAAAACCGCCCGCATGAGGGTTGTGTTATCCCTCTGAAACAAACCAGATGATGCTGTGGGTGTGTGCATCCGCAGGAGAGAAGCAGAACTAACACGGACAGAGCGCATTCAGTCTGAAACCAGTAACTTGGACTAAATGTGTGTTTGTGACTGGGAGCTGAATCTGGGTCAGCGGTTCTTGGAGAGTGAAGCTGAACCTGCTGACACATGTTTCACTTAAAGAGGAAAAACTTGAAGAATCTGATCAATCAGCTGTTTTGTTTTTTTCAGTCAGTAAAAACAATCAGACCATCAACATGACCGCTAACCACATTAACTAACATTAGATTGTTTTGTGATTATTTCACAGAAAAATCTTACATAATCTTCCTTTAAAGTTTAACTTAACCCAACTATGTCAACAACTGGGATTTAGGTCCAAAACAAGCAGGATGTTGTAGGAAAACATGCAGAGCATTAAACCAACTCAGTCACCGCCTCCCTCTTTTTGGCTTTGTTTTCTTTGACTGTTCTGTTTCATTGTTTTGGATTTTCCTCCTTTTTGTTTTGTTCCCTTCCACATTCCTAGTTTGTGTGTTTGAATTATGTTTGGATTAAAATTCCTTGTCCAGCAGCGCCTGCTGCTAAACACCAAAGCAAAGCATGGAGCCTGTTTGAATCTACATGAAAATACATCAATTCCATTCAATTAAAGTTTATTTACCCTAACGCAAATCACGACCAGAGTCGTCTCAAGGACCTTCACATAGTAAACATTCTAACACAGGTCAGTTCATTAAGCCAATCAGAAAAAAGTTTCCTATATAAGGAACCCAGCAAATTGCATCAAGTCACTGACTAGTGTCAGAGTCTTTACAGCAATCCTCATACTAAGCAAGCATAAAGCGACTGTGGAGAGGAAAACTCCCTTTTAACAGGAAGAAACCTCCAGAGAATCCTGGCTCAGTATAAGCAGCCATCCTCCACGACTCACACACACACACACACACACACACACACACACACACACACACACACACACACACACACACACACACACACACACACACACGGTTATATTGTGATTTCTTAGTAAATATTCTATTTGGTGAGAGATAAACTTTATTGTATTTATCCTAGTGGATCTATAATTAAACGGGTAAACTAGTAGTAGCACATTCAATGTCAAAGAGAGTAAACTGTTAGTAAACTGTTATCCCTCTACTCCCCCACTTGTCCAGATCTGGGCTAACATCAGATTTTAACCATAGGCCTTATCAAATTAAAAAAAATGTAAGCCTAGTCTTTAAAGTAGACAAGGTGTCTGCCTCACAGACTAAAGCTGGGAGTTGGTTCCACAAGAGAGGAGCCTGATAGCTAAAAGATCTGCCTCCCGTATCAAGTGGTTTTAATGTTGGAATGGCAGCAGTTTGAAGAAGTAATCCATCACAATAGCTACTCCGGTACTGGCGGATGTTTAACAAATAGTCTGGGAAATCACAGTCACATTCTGGTTCAGGTTTTTGAGAGCTCCTGAAGATGTAATCCAGCCATTTCTGCCGATAAACTCTTCATCAGGAGGGCTTGCAGACAAAATTCCTTTTTGGGGTTCTAGGCATTATTTAAAGTGCAGACTAGACAAGAAAGAAATCACTTCTTCCCAACTTCTGAGATTAAACTCCCCGTTAGCTACACAGAGATTGGGTGTTAGTGTTTACAGTCTAGGGGAAGAGAGATATGGATTCAACACTACCAGGATGCAGAGGAGCAGGGCATGATGATGCTAATTGACCCCATCCAGCTAAATACAATAGTTTAGCAGAGCTGAAGGGAAGAAGCAGCCGAGAGAGCAGAATGCATCAGTGAAGCCAAAAACTGCTTTGGTTTTTTTTTTTCAACGAGGGAATAATAAAACAAAAGTTAATTTATGTCAGTAATTCAGCTTAGACTGAGAGACCATCTAAAGAATCAGGAACCCTTTGCAGGTGTTTAGATTAATTAGCTGATTTGAGTCTATGGAACCTTTTCACAATATTCTAATTGTCTAAGATTTTGAATTCGGGGTTTTAATATGCTGTAAGCCATAATCATCAAAATTACTAAATTAAAAGACTTGAAATAGCTGGATTTGCATGTAATGAGTCTATCTCATGTTAGTTGAAACACTGACATAAATTAAAGTTTGACATTGAATAAAAACCAGCTCAGAGGACAAGAAGCTGTAGATGCGTGTGGAGAAGCAGAGGCTGACAGGTATTCTCAGGTGCAGACATGTTTCTGATGTGGGAATCAACAGGAACAAGCTGCCACCTGCAGGGGGAATTCTGGGATTTCTTAGAATCACTCAAGAGTTCAAAAGTGGAACAAGCATGTCTGACATTGTCAGATGGAGTCGTTAACTACAGAGGGAAAAGACGGTTGTGTTTTTATTCATGCTTAAACATTTCAGTCCTAAAAGATCATCAAAAATGATCTGCACTTGTGTAGCACCTTTCAAAGTCAGAGCACTCCAAAGCACTTTACACTACAGTGTATCATTCAGCCATTCACACACACATTCACACACTGGTGACGAAGAGCTACAACGTAGCCACAGCTGCCCTGGGGTGCACTAAAAGAGGCGAGGCTGCCGAAAACAGGCGCCATTGGTCCCTCCGACCACCACCAGCAGGCAAGGTGGGCTAAGTGACTTGCCCAAGGACACAACTGTGGAATTCTCTTTGAACATCTTAGGTGTGTTTTTGCTGTGTCTTTCTAAATCCATGCTTTCGTTCTTTTTTAAACACAGAAACAGTTTTGTTTACCTGTTTGTAGCTACAGTTTCGCGCCACCATCAGCGTCAGCCTGAAGAAGCCGGCAGCCGTCGGCGAAACTGTAGCTACAAACAGGTAAACAAAACTGTTTCTGTGTTTAAAAAAGAACGAAAGCATGGATGTGGAATTCTCTGCTGAGAGCTGGGATCAATCCTACTACCCTTCGAATACTGGACAACCCACTCTACCTCTACCTGCTGCGCCCAATCAGAAAGTTGAACGGAAACTAGAAGAGTGGATCCTGTCCACGAACCAAGGATTCCTCCCCCAAGCGCTTTTTTCCGGAACCGCGCTGCTCTGGGTGGCTGCATGTTGGAGTAGCTCTGTTGACTATATGTAAGTTTTGCCTTTTCTTGGACATTTTTTCTTCTAGTTTCTCAAGAGGGGCTGTGTGTTTTTTTGGACATTTTACTTTTCTGTTTCTGGTGCTGCGAAGCTTGGAGGAATTTTACTGCTATTGTTTTTAGCTTTTTTCACTTTTTGAGCATTTGTTATGATGTGTAACCATGGCAACAAGCTGGTTTACAATCGGGAGCAGCTGACTAACATTAGGAAGGCTGAAATAATACCTCAACTGAAGCCACAAATCCCAAATGAGCTAAAACACAAAAAGCGTGGGTGCAGAGCGGGAGCAAAACGGAGACCGAGAAAGAGGAAATTCAAACCATCTCTTCCATCGATCATAAAGGGCGATGTGAGATCACTGGCCAACAAGATGGAGGAACTCCAAGCCC